CAACAAATATATAAATCCTCAGCCCGGTCATTGATCGAATGCGTATTCATGAATCCACATAAAGACTAATAATCTCAAGGGACAAAATAAACATCACAATTCACAACCCTCCATTATTGAAAATTAACTTAAAAAATGAGTGCTACCAAAAAGTTCAATCCAAGCGGGTTCGTCTTCGATGGATCCGTCTTTCTTCCATGCAATTAATTGTTGATAGGATGACCAGGTCAATGTTTCTAGAATATACTAGCATGTACGGATGTTATTAAATCATACAAAGGATATTGATAAAAAAATGAATTTGCAATTCATCCGGAGCAGTGGTTGCGCAAGGTCCATAGATTTAGCCTCCAAAGTTGAAAAAAATAATTGTTTATCTACTTCTCGTGAAACAGGGGGCTGTAAACAGGGTACCACATGTTGCGAGTGGCATAATCAACCGTTTCATCCTGCATCAAAACTTATACATTTACAACCCAAACATTCATAGATCATCAAATCTGACAAACATGGCCGAAGATTGATTTCATAATGAACACCCGCTATTTAATAATAATAATAATATTAAACACCTAAACTTTCTAAGCTCAGTTTGGGTTATGATAATGGTATTTTTACCACTATATTTCCATATTTCAGGTGAGATTTGAGTTTCCTTTAAACAACAAATTTTTTTTGTATTTTCCTTTCATAATCATACTTATGCAAATAAAAATTTACTGTTTTAGAATAAAGAGCATGGAGTTTACTGTTTAGTAGAAAAAAGTTAGAAGGCAAGAAGTTTCATACTTTTGACATGTGCATGAGTTCTTTGGGCCCCACATCACCATGTCCTTCTGTCAATCCTTCGTTAAGCCTTTATTTGGATTGAGGAGGCAAGGGGGGAGAACGAAGGAAATGTATCTCATTTATATTGATAAGATAGCTTTATTAATGAAAGGGAATGAGAGGAAGGTAAATGGAGGGACAGTAGTTTCTCTTCAAATCTCTTATTTTTAAACCCTCTAATTTAGGAGGATTAAGAAGAATTAGATTTATTTTTACTTTGTTTTTTTATTTTTTTCAAAAATATAATTAAAATTTATATTTTAACTTTAATCTTAATATATAAATTTATAAAATTTTAATTATTTTTATAATTATTTTTCTTTAATTTATTTAATTAAATGAAAAAAAATAATCTCTCCCTTCCTTTTTTTCCTCTTTT